AATTTTTTTTTTTTTTTTTTTGGCGCAGGGATATGTAGGTATGCCGATATAAATAAGGCTCATGAATCAGCTGATGAAGATGACAAAAAGGGAAACAAATCCCTTAAAGGGACAAAAAAGCAAGTGGTATCCTAATTAGGAGCAGGGGCGGCTCAACAAGATTCGAGCCCTAAAGCGAAAATTTAATTGGAAGCCTTTGTTGAAACAAAACCTTTCTTATATATTTTTATTTGAAATTTATTTTTTCTAGCTTTTTGAGATGTAAAGTTATTAATAATTTCTTTTATAAACTATTTAATCACTCTTAGGATATTGTTGATCTTAGGAAATAAAACTAGATTCAAAATGTTGATAATTTGATATCGAAATAATTATTTAATTTTTCAATATACTTGTTGTAATGCTTGAACCTGCAGAGGAAACAAATTAAGAATGTGCAATAAAGCGTATTCAATAGTATTCTGCAGCTCTTGTTTTTTATTGGAAAAAATAATCTTTTTTTTACGAAACAATATAGCTTATCGAAAATTTGAACTTTTGCAGAAATCAAGAAAGAAAATATAAGAGTGCAATACACATTATCTGATGAGAAATATAAAAAATGAGATTTGGACTATTAGAGATATTAAAATAGAGACTCTAAAAGTTTATTACACGTTTTCTAGTGAGAAATATAAAAACGAGAAAGATAATGTTGGTATTTCACTAATGATGTCAATTGTAAAATGTAAATAACACAATTTTATATTTCGGGTAAGGATTTTAGGGGAAGTAATTCTCTTTCTTCATTTTTTGCTCAAACAATTATATCAATAATAAACTAAAAGTTATCTTTAATTTTTATAAAAAGATTTTACTTTTCTATTTTTAATACTCAATATTTTAAAAAAAATATTAACTTATAAATCTATTATTGATAAAAGTTGGGCTCCACCTCCAAGAATTGTGGTGGGATGGATACGATTTAACCTACTTTAATAAGATATTTCGGGTTTGAGCCCTATGGATGATATCATGTTAAAATGCGCTTCAATACAAATTCATATTAGTCGGGACTTTAATACGAATATCAAAAACAGGTAAGAAAAACAAAAACGAAAAAAAAAATTTGGGGCCCCAAAAATTTTGGAGCCCAAAGCAATTGCTTTAGCTGTTTGACCCTCTAGCCGCCCAAGTACAATTCTTTTTTCACGCTGGAGTATTTACGTGAAGTAATTGTGCGTATGTCTTTCGTGTTTTTGACATGCAGCAGAATATATATATATNTAGGTTGTCAAACTTTATTATTCTTTCGCACATATCGGGGGGCTTTGTTTTCCTTATTTTTTTAAGTCCAAAAGATTACATATGTCACCTAAAAAATAGTATTACAGGGAGTTGGTAGTGCTCTTGAGTACAAATTAAAAGGAGGTCATTGCCCAAAGTAAGTGGTGGTATTTGGTAGCATAAGAGCTAGTACGATATGAATATTATTAAGATTATAGCAGTACACTAGCACTGCATCTTTATTTCTCTTCTCTTTCTCTTTTCGGATAGTTAGTTGGTAGTTGTTACTGTACATTCCATTAGTTAGTTATTCTTTTCCATTAGTTAGTTACAGCTATTAGGAGTTGGGTAGTTAGTGGATTAGCTGTAGCTTAGCTGTCATTAGTTGATCTCATTGTAGATAAGAATCGAGCTCCAGCATAATGAAAGGTGATTCTCATTTTTCACTCCATTGAAAGAGATTCCATTTCTGCATTTTAACTTCTATTCCTTGGAAGCTTCTGTTGAATAAAGGAGGTTCTACAGCAACAAAGAAAAGTGCAGGCCATGTTGCTACAACATCTTGTTTTTCTCATTCTTGTCAAACTTGCCCATCTATAAATACTCAGTGTCATTCCCATTCTTGTATTCCCAGTTCTGCTGTAAATACTGTGTCTCCATCTCCTACTGTAAATAATTTCATTTGCAATAAAATAAGCTGGTGCGATAATTCTGAACCTTTCTCAATTGATGTAAGTGATATGAATCTATTATGGCACTACAGACTTGGACATGTACCCTTTTGGAAAATGAAAGTGATATCTAATATACCAGTAACTTTTGCACCAAAACAACCTTTCCTCTGCACCATATGTCCTATGGCTAGGCAAGCTAGACTTCCTTTTCCCTTAAAAGTCACAAACACCATGACAATTTCAAATACCTACTCATATTTGATCTCTTACCTGTAGACTTGTGGGGACCTTATCATGTACCTACTCATGACAATTTCAAATACTTTCTCACCATAGTAGATGACTATAGCAAATCCACTTGGATTCATCTGCTCAGTTGCAAGAGCAATGCATTACACACTCTCAAAAGTTTTATATTCATGGTTGAGATAATGGTCTAGAATTCACTAGCACTGAAGCTACCTCATTCTTCCAGTCAAAAGGGATTGAACACCAAAGAACCTATCCTTATACACCCCAACATAATGGCATAGTAGAAAGAAAACACAAGTACCTATTGGAAACTGCTAGAGCCTTACTGTTTCAAGCCAAACTCCCCTTGAAATACTGGGGAGAGTGTGTGCTTACACCAACCTTTCTCATCAATCGATTACCTATTATACCTTTGAAAAATAAGTGCCCTTTTGAGTTACTATGTGGAAAAAAGCAAACTACTCACATTTAAGAAGTTTTGGTTGTCTGTGTTATCCAACCGTTTCCTTTGAACCAAGAACTTCTCCACATGTTTTTATAGGCTATCCTTTTGGTATTAAGGGATACAAAGTGCTAAATCTGGCTATCAAGAAAATTTGTGTGTCCAGAGATGTGGGTTTTCATGAATCAATCTTCCCCTTTTCACTTACATCAATGTCAAACTCCTCTCATTCTTTTACTGATATTATCACACATCAAGATCACTCTGATGTTCTCAGTACTTATCCCACTCACAGTCCCTCTCCCACACCATCACCTAGTCACACCATACACTCATCCATTCTAGTGTCACCTAACCACATCATACACTTACCTCCCATTCTAAACATTACCTCACCACCAGCAATACCTCCAGTCACATCAAGGGTTGATCAACTCTCATCTTCTATATTGAGGCCAAACCAAGGGGTGTCTAGTAGAGTGTCTAAGACCCCATCTTACCTGTCTAAATATGTTTGTTCTATACCTAATCTAAAGCAACCCCAAAACACTAAAGTCACTCAGACTAATTCACCCTTTTCCCTCAATGCTCTTTTTACCCAAAGCAATCATATCACTCTTGATGTCCTAAATACTGATAGCCAGTAGGTTGTGAGAAGCATCTGTAATGACAGGGAACTTCTGTCTTATGAAGAAGTAGTGGTCAATCCTGCCTGATAGCGTGATATGACTCAGGAATTTGAAACACTTCATGCAAACAACACCTGGACATTGGTTCCATTGCCTGTAGAAAAGCAAGCCATAGACTGCAAGTGGGTATATAAGATCAAACACAAAGCAGATGGAAGCATAGAAAGATATAAAGCTAGATTAGTTGTGAAAGGATATACACAAAAGGCTGGAATAGATTACACATAAACCTTTTCCCCGAGTAGTGAAGATGACCACTGTTAGAGTTTTAATTGCTACTGCAACTAAGAAGAACTGTGAGTTATTTTAGCTGGATGCGAACAATTCTTTCCTTTATTGAGATTTTCATGAAGAAGTATATATGAGACTACCTCAAGGGCTTGCAGTTTTTTCTCCTGAGCTAGTTTGCAGATTGAATAAATCTCTCGATGGCCTAAAGCAAGCTAGGACACAATGGTATGCCAGACTCACCGAGGATCTATATTCCAGAGGTTATAGTTGTAAGCACGTGATTTTTGCCCTATATGAGAATTACTCCCAAAAAATTCAAAATAAAATGATTTTCCTTGGTGTGCAATTTTGAGAATTTTGTGACATTTTTGGATAATTATTTGTATTCGTCTATGCATGTTTATTTGTTAAATTAATAAAAAATATAAAAATATGTCGCATTTTGCATGTAGGATTTAATTCTACAATTGTTACTAATTAATTTTGTTTTACAAAAATAGGCATCTTTTGCATTTTTAGCATTTAATGTCCAAATATACAATTTTATGCTTAATTATTACCTAATTGTGTGTTAATTATTATTGGGAGTTAATTTGCGCTTTTATAACTTAATTTAGTTCTTAATAATAATTTAAATATTTTTATAATTTAGTTTTAGGAAGATAAAAGAAGAAAAAAGAGCAAAAATACAAAGAAAAATCGGATTGGGTCACTTCTTCAATTTCAAACCACAGGCCCAAATAATTGCCCAACCTTCCCCACGACCCGGTCCACTCCAAATCGGGTCGACCCGGTCCTCCCCATTAACCCAAATACCCAACACCCCTCTTCATTTTTTTCAAAACACAAAAGAAAAAAACAAAAAGAAAGAAAAACCCTAAAAAAACCTAGAAACTATCCGCCCCCCCCCCCCCCCNGCTTCGTCTTCGACCATGAGCAGCCCAGGCGACCACGCGACTATTGTTGCTTCATCTTCTTCGTTCTTCGTCAAGCTCGAGCTTGAGCTCGACATCCATGGCTGCCTTCCTCCTCCTCGCATCCAGCCGCTACTGCTACTGTTCACACAGATATTTCTGCATCGCTGCTTCATCTACTTCATCTTCATGGCTTCCTGCATCGTCCGGACAAACCCCCATCGCTACTGCCTCTTCTTCGTCGTCAACCCGTCGTCCATGGCTGCACTGCCTTTCCTCCATTGATGCTGCGTCAACTGCTGCTACTGCTTCGGTGTTTCTTCAGTTGCTTCTTAGGTGCGTGTTCGTCGTTGTTTACGTTCGGGCTTTGGTCGAAGTCGTCAAAACAGTCCATACATATTTCGTTTCAATCCGGTTAG